AGTATTCAGAAAGTCCAAGTCCATTAACATAAATACCAACCTGTGCATTAGGGGTTTTCGCACTCGAACCCCTTCCCCTGAAAGCCCCTCTCAAATCAGACAAAATGTGTTTAAGTACGGTAGCTGTGAGCCGTTGCATACATTCAGGCGCTGCGACCCGTTGCCAAATGTATCAATTGGTTTAGGATTTCGTCTCTTTATACACCCCCTGTATACCCTATATAATAGTCAAAAACAATCATACAAAAGTTAAGCGCTGGAACAGAGATGTATTTTTGCTCAGCGGCAAACAGAGCCGAATAACCAAAGCCTGTCCATTTGAACTTATCGAAAGTATAGAAACTGCTGCTAGAAAATTTGGCATGTATCTGTTAAAATACCTATAAAATAAAATGTTCTATCAAATTTTCGGAAGCTAGTTCTGTTGGCTACTTGAGTGTTGCTTACAGGGTATCCCCTGTTCTGCATTTTTCTACATTATGCCTGATGCGACTTTAATAGCTTGCATTTAGTGTCTGGCAGCCACGCCTTCATATGCATTTATTATCTGCCTGCGAGTCCATCTATGCGCTTTCTATTTGTTGTTTCCTGCTGTTTAGGCAATTTTGTTGCCGTTTTTTATTGTCTGGCCGGACCGGGCCAAGAGACGCAGCTGCTGTTGACTTGGTCTAATTTGCAGTCAAAGCATTCCTCGAATTCCACAATTGCTATCATGTGTTCTTTCTGGGTGTAGCTACCGGTAGCTTCAAGGGAATGCAATTGGATTATTAAAAAAACAAAAACAAGAGAATAAAGGGGAGATAAGTGTAATATGCGATTGATTAAGAATTATAATAGCACTATATTTTGGTGGTTCTTCTAGAGGTCTATATGAAAGAGTGTATGATATGGAATTGAGTACTATAAAAGCGTAGTAGGAATAGAATTAAAGAGAAGTTGGAGTTAAAGAGAATGGAGTTGTAGAAGTAGCGGGAAAAGTAGTAAAAAGAATATAAGGAGTCGAGAAGTGGCATAAAAGGCCTAACAGCATAAAAAAGTTGTGGTTGTATTAAAATAATAGAAGGAATATAAGTAGTACAGGTATTAAATGGTAGTAGAAGCATAATACAAGTATTTGGAGTAGTATAAGAGATTATTGAAAACAGAATAAAAGAGAGTAAAAGAGTAGTAGCTTAAAATAGTGGTAGACGTAGTATGAAATATTAGTAGGAACATAATAAAAGAACAATAGTGTAAAAGTTTATATATAGTCGAACATATTGAAAGTGTTTGAAGTTGTGTAGGAAAATAGAAGGAAAAGAATAAAACAGCTTTAGGAACAATTTAAAATTTGAAGAATATTAAAAAATAATAGTAGTAGGAACAGAAGAAATGCATAGGAATTTTAATATAAAATCATAGCAGTAACAGAATAAACGTATTTGGAGTAGTAGGAACATAACAAGATTTTGACGGATCATGAAATAATAGTGGTATTATATAACAGAGTAAAAGGAAGCTGAACAAGTATAATACAAGTATAATAAAAGTATGACAATAAAAGTATGAAAAGAATAAAAGACAAGTTAGTGGAAGAACTATTAGTTAGTATAGAAGAAGGAACACAACAAAATAGTAATAGTAGTATAAAATAGAAGCAAAATAAAGAAGAATAAAGAAATAGTAAGAATTCTAAAAGAATATATATACAGAGAAGTGTGTGTAAAAATGTAGGAGTAGTATAAGGTATGAGTCTTAAGGAGTATATAGAGTAGTATTTAGTATACAAAGGAGTATAAAAAAATAATATTTAGCATATTAAATAAGTATATAGTATTTAGCATAAAAAAGGAGTATATAGAGTGGTATTTAGCATTTAAAGGAGTACAAAGTAGTATTTAGCCAATAGAGAAGTATATAGAGTAGTATTAAGAAAATAAAGGAGTATTTAGTAAATAGAGGAGTATATACATATATGAGTTTATGTCAGTAGCCGAAATGGAAACTATGTATTTATAGAGGAAGTTATTCTATTGTGTAGGATAAGTGCCCATTCATATAATTTTAAAGTGGTTCACAATTTACAATATTTTAATAATTAAAGAAAGTTACATTTCACCGCTTCTGTTAATCATTTAAAATGGCTTGAAACAATCACAATATTCCTTAAAAGTCTGATTATCTTTAATAGGTACACAAAGCTGATAAAAGCAACTCTATAAAGTAATTGCATATCCCGAAACATGAACGGAAGTATAAAAGCGCTCTTAAACTCATCAAAAATGCATAAATGTCAGCGCGTAATAAAATAACAAAAACAAAAAGCGAAATATTTGTTGTGTGTATCGTTGTTATATATGACTACTCGATAATTCTGAAAAACTCCACTCAGCGGGCAACAGAGCGGATATACGAGAACGAAAAATCTTTCAATAAAACAATTTACTCAATTGGCTCAATGACTCGACGCGACTTGCCCCCCTTCCCTCTACAATATAAAACACACAACAGCAAAAAAAGAAAATGGAGAAAATCTATTTAGTTGTGTGGCTTGTTCGTGGTATTACAGCTGCAGCAGCGACAAAAGCCCATGGGGGCTACACAGGGTGGGGGCGTGGCGCAGTGCCCTGTGCGGCTGACTTGCAGTTTTTTATCGTTCGCATTTCCATTTTCAACTCCTTTTCACACAACGTCAACTGCACATACTCCACAGTATATGCATTTTTTATTTTATTTCTTTTATTTATTTTTCTTTCACTTTTTTTAATATTGCAAATATTTTTTAGAATTTATGTATTTTTTTCGTTACCTGTTCTTCTGGCGTCGCGTTGCATGCATCGAGCCGTCGTTTGGCGCCACTGTGCGGGGCGCCCGGCTGTGTGGCATGTCCTTGTCTCTTGCACCACTTCCATATGCGAGCAACCCAAGCCAACCCAGCGCCCCACACAACCTGAACCGCCCACACGCTGTGTGGACTGTATCAATTTAGCGCATGTCGTCATAGCAGCCATTGATGCATAAATAATGGAGCTGGGTTGGCGTAAGGTGAGATTGGGAGGGCCCGTGGGTGGACAATTGTTGGTCTAGCTTTAACTGTCAGTCAGCCTGGCGCGTTGCGCTGTTTGTTCAAGGCACTCTATCTCGCTCTAACACTCCCACTCTCCTCTATGTCGCTCGCCCGGTTGCCATTCATTTCCCCCGGTGTCTGCTTCTAACTGAATTTGTAGGTATATTTGTTTTGTGCAGTGTTACTTTCATTCTTCTTTTTTTTCCTTTCTTTTTTCACTTTTCTCTCTCTCTCTCTCTCTCTCTCTCTCTCGCTCTTTCAATGCGCTTTGTGCGCCCAGCCATTCACAATTGTCGCTTTATTTGCTATTCAAAACTATTTCCATCGATTGTCGAGACGCCTAACTTAAAAAACAACACAAAAACACACAAACTCTTGTTATGCATGACTAAATTTCAGTTGAAAGACAATAAAAAATACAAAGAAATAATGCACAAGCGCATAGCAGTAAAAGAAAGCGTAAATATCCCGAATTGATGTGCAGTTTGGGCAGTCGAGCTACCGAGCTCTAATTTAGGTAATGATATATTTTTTTTTAACGTAAAGCCCAAAGTTTATTGAACTTACGTTTAAGATGAACATGCTAATAATGCAGTTCGCTTGTTACGATTATTTTTGCAGTTATTGCTCATCGATTATTACGGGAATCGATTAATATTGGATTTTAGCGACTCATATTTTCTTTAAAATAATGATAAACATTGTTGATAAATATATTTATGCACTTTTAGTTGCCTTCGATACATTTTTTTTTTAAGATAGCTATCCATAATCCATTCCTTTGTGACATACTGAACGTTCAGCTTTAAAGTCCAGAAAATAGCTTGACAGTCCACGCGGCGTATGCGTGATGTGTTCTTTTTGTCCTGAGCTTAACCGGCGAAGCGTGGCTAAAACTGAGCCGCTTTTCGCTTTTTTGCAAACTTCTCCACCTGACGTCGCCATTTCGTGAGCCGTAGCGATAATGGAAGTAGCCAAAAGGTGCAGCACTCCTGCACAGTGATGATAGGCTGCCCAGTCGGCTCGAAAAACCCAATTAAACTGCCTGCCACGCAGCGCTCCACAATGTGTGTGTGTTTGGAGTAAAGCTTGCAACTGCAGCAGCATACACCGTGCTGGCAATCGGCTGGCATTTTCTGCCTGCCACATTTAGCCAATTAAATTTGCCATAAAGTTTACTTAGGCGTGTATCGAAAAGATGGCCAAAAACCTATTATGCAAAAGGCAAAACTTAATTATGAATCGAGTGCAGGAAAATATATTTTTCCTTCTGCTACGTGCTTGAACTGGCTATATTTATAAGACCAAACGCCGCATGCCCCCCCACATAACAGTGTAATAATAATAGAAACAGTAGACTATCCACACTTAAGCCCAGGCCCACGTCCAGGAACAATTATTGCAAATAAACATAAGATATTTTTGCAGAAAACTTTGCCAGCTTCATATAAGTTGTCTGTGTGTGTGTTCTAATAGAGTGGATACTATTTAGTCCTGGGGCAAACAAAGTTGTTATTGCGTTCAGATAATATTTATTATCGTTTGTGAATCACCTCTTGATGAGAGCCTTTTTGGTATACTAGAAAATAAAACGGTATCGATAAAAATACCATTGATAAATATCAATATAACTTATCGATATTAAGATTTAAAACTGTCTGTTATTTAAATTAAACGTAAACATATCGATAACAAACGCAAAGAATCGATAACATATCGATAATTAATTGATAATGCAACGTTTACGATTTTTCGAAATCATAAAAGATGGATATAAAATATATAAAATAATATCGATAACAGCATTTAAATAATTCTTTATTTCAATCAAATTATCTATTAGCCTAATATATATTGTTGCCCAAATACTTTGTGCAACTAATCGATATCAAAAGCTTGGCTTGAATCAAGAAATAAAAACGTGCGCACTTATCGCATACCTTAATCTTTTTAGAATCGCATCGAAGGGCACTTGCACGTCATAAACAAACTAAAATGATAAACTTTTTCGATAACCACTTTTGGATTACCCCGAAGCCAGCCAGTTAGCCATTGGATGTAACTGACGGGGCGCAGCAAAGGGTGGGCTCATGCTCAATCAAGTCAAGAGGATACCGATTGCCAGTGGCACTTAATAAAACCTTGCTTAAACTGAACAACTGCAATGGCAATAAATATTTAAATAAAGAAGCAAAGCCACAGACACACACATGGCACACACGCCCTCGCACACACATGATATTGTTTTACAAATGTGCAAATGTTGTAGCCAATTAATTATTATAAATCCGGTTTACCAACTAGCCAAAAACTCCGAAGTGGCATTTGAGCAACATTTAAAAGCAACAAGCACAAGGAAATTCCACTTGTAAAAGAAAATTGCCAAGTGCAAGTAAACAAATGTGGTGTGTGTGTATATTACATACTTGTTATATATATACATACAAAAATAAACCTATATGCAGCGCACAAGTGTTATATTTGCTTTGTTGCTTAACCAACACTGGCAATGGGCCCAGCATAGATCCTTGGTGGACTGGGCATAACATTGATAGATTCTTGCATGCATCGCAGCTGTAGTTTGCCACTCGCATATGTGTACTTAACTTGTCCTTTACTTTTAATAAACAATATGCGTTTACTGTAAATAATTGTTTTGGATTTGTTTGTGAATTTATTAGGCTTCTCTTCTTCTCCGTCTTTTGTTTACTTTATTTTATCTCTTTGGCTATCTGAGTCGGAGAATTTCAATGAATTTTACTTAATTTTTTTGGTAAAACTTTTGATTGGCTGAGCCAACCAAGAAAATACAAAGGAAAATTGCTAATTTAAGCCGAAACGGCGAATAACTGAAATAAATATTAGTAAAGAGAGATTTTAAATTTGCAAATTTATTTGAATTAAAAAATTAAGTTAAATTTATGGATGCAATTCATGACAAATGGCCAAAAATTTGTTAAAGTTTTAGCTGTTGGAAAAATATAAGGGGCAATTCCTATAGATTTTGGAAGCATATCAAAATTGTTAAAAATAATATGAATTTTGAGTAAATAAAGAAGTTATCGATTTAATGGCTTGGAGACAGCTTTTGATGTGTTGCTGATGGATGCAACAAAAGCCAAACGAAAATTTTTTTGCAAACCAAAAATTTGTCGACTTTTTCGGGTGTGTGCTCGTAAAACTCTTAATTAAATTGAATTGTTTGCAATTGTGTTTGCCAGCCAGACGGGCAGACAACAATAACAACAATAACAGACAATAACACCAAGAGAGCTTGCTGAACAGAGCCGCAAAAGTGATTCGAGTTCGTAATTTGCAGACTTTTAGTGACTAAAAACAGTTTTTGTGGTTGGCCAGTGCAGTAAGAGAAAAAGAGAGGGTGAGAGAGAGACATGACATACCCTGTTAAATTAGTAAATATTAAAGTGAAAGCTTTAAGAGAGAGCTCTTTATTCAGAATAGCGAATAAATGATTATAGTCTACTGAAACTTTTGAGCTAAGTCCTTACAAGAATTTGTCTACAATATAAAATTAAGGTAAGGGTTTTGAAACTAAAGAATTAAAGAAAATGGTAAAGTTAACTTAAAGCTTTTATAAGGATCACAGCAAAGCTGCTGAAAAAAGTTAAAGGCAATCTGTAAACATAACAAGTAAGAGGTTCTAGTCGGGAGCTCCCGACTAGGGGATTCCCTGAACCCTCTTCTTCCAACATCAAATGCATATATGTATATTCTATTTTAGAAGCTATATGTCAAGTTTGGTGACTGTATTTACCAAAATTGCCCAAAAAACCGGATATCGATAACGATTTTTATCGATTGCTTGGAAACGGAGTAAGTTATCGATTATCGGAAACAAACTCGATCTGCGCGGGAACTAGGAGCACCTACATCTAAAATTTCTCTAGCTCTTATATGATGTCATATCACGAGAAGTATTTATTTGAACTATTTTGCAAGCTTTTTAAGCAAACTTAAAGCTTTTCGTTAAGCTATTAGTTGATTGATATTGTCATAATGCGATAGAATTGATTCAAAATATAAGAAACTTTGCAGCTTTAAAGCTATTCCCGAATTTTTAAGCTGATTTAATATTTTCCTATACGATGTTAGGATTCAAAACCTTCATTTGATTGATATTGAAATCCGAATATATTGATTCCAAATATAAAAAGCTTTTCAAGCACACCTTTGGGAGCTTTAAGCTGTTTGCTTTTGTCGCATTACAATACTATTGATACTTTTAGTATACCCTATTAATGTTATTATATGTGTATTTTCTAGGTTAATCAGTAATGTATTTGCAAGCTTTTAAATTTCCCATTCTCCCGATTCACCTTCAACAATGCATTCCCTACTTTACTCGCTCCTGACCCCAAATGTTTTGCTTTTGTTTGTGCTGCAACTTACCTTCAGCATTGAGCTGTGCAAATTGATGAAAATTTTCAAAAACGCACAACCCCCCTCATTTCTATTTCCCCTTCGCGCAGCCACATGGCGCATACGATTGTGAATTGCTTTGGGTATGCAGTATTGTGAATTGGTTCTATTGACATTGGTTTTTGATATTCCGTGTGCATTTGCATGCTGCACAATTCGATCAAAAATGTCCACTTTCAGTCAGGTTGGGGTCCTAGGCTATTGTCCTCCTTTGCGACTTTGGCCACAACATTTTGTGCTGTGTTTATGCCAAAGTTTGTTTGGTAACCGAAGCACAGAGGCGTGCGTCTGGGGTTAGGAGAAGGGGGTCTCAAAGCAATTATCATGGCTCAACCGGACGAAACTGTCAGCGAAAAGCTGAGGCCGGGATTAGAGCTCGTAATCCCCGGCAGACATGTTGAACAGTTTGGCGTTGGGGGACTGGGGCAGTGAAACCGAACCGAAATCTCACGAAAACTAAAACCGCACCAAACTGTGGAAAACTCGGATGAGATTGGTTTGTGTGCTGAGCAGTTGGGGTGGGGGCTGAAAAGGGGTAGTTTTCTTTGTTTTCCGATGGTTCAGACTGTGTCTAAGCGGTTCAGACTGTGTCTTTCTTGGCGAACATTTTCTCCTGTTGTGGCAAAGATTTTTCGTTTTTTTTTTTAGCTTATATATTTTTATTTTTTGATAAATTTTCTAAAACCCTTTGCCCCCTTCTGGTATACAAGCTCCGCGCGCCCCTGTCGCTGTTTCTTTTACGACTTTCATGGAACTCACAAAATCCGCTTTTGTATTGTGTCGCCGTGCGGTCGCATAAATTAGCGTAACTTTAATCTGATTTTAATTGTGGGCGGGGTGGCATGGGCTCTGTTGTTTTGTTGAAGCTTAGACCATGAACTGCCGCCCCTTTGCACCCGCTGCCGGTCTCCCACGCATCCTCGCCTGGCCTGCCTGCCTGCCTGGTTGTGAAATATTAATGACAAGCGACTCCGCCGGCACCAGTCCGCCAAAGAGACAGGCATAGAAAGCCAAATGGAGGCAGAATGGCTAAAAGGCTAAAATGGATGTAGCTTTGTTTTTCGTGCTGTTCCCCCCCTGTTTGCACTGTCTCCTTTCCGCTCGGCCCGTTGCTTATCTCTAGCCTAAGCAAACGAGCCCCAGCGACTGTGTTTGTCCTTCTCGTTTCCTGTGTTATTTATTTATTTGCTTTTCCAGTTTTCAAAAAGTGCAATTTACGTTTTTAATTTCATTTCATGTTCCATTTGTGTTTGCTCCATTCTATTTGTAGAGCCAGTCGAAATTGTTGCTTCTGGTAATTTATCTGTCAAAAGTTGACATTATACTTGTATGCGAATAATAAACGTTGTAGTTATATTTGTTTTATTTATTTTGAGAGTGTAGTAAAGTTATTTTAGCCAGCATTAAAGTTGCTTGCTATGTGCACGTTGAGGCAGTGTGATAGCAAACAGCTTATTTCATTGAAGGTGTCAAATGTGGGTCTGCTGTAGATTTAATTTTGATTTAAAGTTAGGTTTTGGGGCAATTTGAAATGCTTTAGATAACACTGAGGTTTCATAGCTAGCATCTTATAAGTTTCGTAGCAGTGAGCCAAACTTCTTTTGCTCTCGGGGGAGCGAGATCATTAAATTTGTATGTTCAAAGAGTATGTAGAGTATGTATGACCAGCAACTGAGCAATATAGCGATTAACTTTGCTCTAAGTTAAATTGTCATCAGTTAAGTTAAATGTATCATAGCAGTCAGCTTATTTTATGGCAGTAAAATCTTTAATTAAGAATAAATATCATATATGTCTCTTAGCATCTCAGCTCTCAGTGATCGTCATTTATGTTTTATAGCAGCCAGCTGCTAATTGTTGCACCTCATTTTGTAGATTAGTTTCATAGCAGTCAGACAGGAGGAAGCTGTATTTCTTGCTATGAAACGCTTTGATTTCAGTAAAATCAAAGACAATATAAACATTACGATAAGTAACGCCAATACTTTTGCATGCGACGCAATATTTCTAGCCTGGCTTCCTAAACTGGCTTTTATGATTTCGCACGACTTGCCAGCCGACTGGCTGTTCGAATGCCGAAGTCACGGCTTGCTAATGCTGACACGAGTAACGAAGTTTGTCGCCAGCCTGCCTTCAGCAAAGCTGGTCGATGGTGCTTTGCGTGGCTTCGATCGACGCAAAGTGCTTTTGCTTTATCCATGAAATGCATGCTTTATTTAAATATTGTATTACCCTAGATACTAACGATTAATTTTACAGGAAATTTTAATAATTAAATAATTTTTACACTATGCGCTTCTTGTGCAACAACTATGTTATGAAAATGACATATGTATAAATGCATGTTTTGTACTAAGGTTGGCTCCGTAGAAAATATGTATTGTTAAGTCGATGCAAATATTAACATATATAATTTCTTTAAAAATGTATGTCAACACATATTTGGTATAGATCATGATCAGCGCTAGAAGACTAAGAAAATTTATTTCTTTGCCAACCAGGGACTTTGCCAGAGCAGTGAATAACAACACATTCAAATATGCTGTTATGTTTGTATATTTACACGCGTACAACAGTACGGAGTACATTGTATTTTTAGCTGTTTTGCTCTCTCGACTGTGTCCTTATATTGTCTTTGGTAAAATCCCTAAACATATATTATAGCAGTCAGCTGATAAATTTGTTAGGTATATTTCATCCAAGTTTTAATGCACTCAGACTCTTATTAAATATATTTCAATTCATGTCCTAATTTCTACGCATAGTTGACCATTTTCCACGACGACCTTTTGTTGTTTGCAAAATATTTCAATATATACCCGACCAGATGCAGCAGCAACAACAGCTGAGGA